GAAAAACTCATGCAAACGTCCGAGATGCCGTTTTGCTGTCACAACTGGCATGCAGTGCGATAACGGCAAAGGTTGGTTCCATGAAGCATGCACAGATCTGACAGCAACTGCTTACAACCGACTCAGCAAGTCAGATAAAAAGTGGGTATGTGTCACGTGCAGCACGGACGCTGTAGTCTTGCTGAGTAACATCATTGTCCTACTGACAGGTCTTCGGAATAAGTTGTCAGTTAACTTGGATAACGATAGAAAAAAAACAGTAGGCAAACAAGGGCGTGCGACGGATACAAAAATAGGGATGTCGACAGGTATACCATCGATGGAGCATCCATCAACACTAATGGCGACGTGTCGAGGCTCAGTACCATCATTACGTCGGCGGTATTAGACTCCCTAAGCAAACTCGGGTCTCCCAGCTCAGGGTCCCTGAACACAACAGTAGTTCTCAGAAACCCTGTAGGTGATTCGACCCATGTTAAGAGAGCCCAAAAGAACCAGGCATCACCGCCTAAGCCGAGCAACCCAAGTGTTGCTGTACGGAAAATAACTGGTGATTTGGTCGCACAGTCTACCCCCAAGACTGTTCGTCCGGTCAATAAAGAGCCCAAGACTCAAAAATGCGCACTGACCTCCAAACAACAAGTTATTAAACCTGAACCCATCGTCAAACCTGGTAAATTAACAACAGTTCGTGACGATTCTCTCATTATCATGAACCTTGTTGACAATCCTGACCTTCCTCTCAGTCTGCAGGACAAAAACGACAGGATGCTCTGGGGTGAATTGAACAAGAAGCTCGAACTTCCTAGAATAGAGCCTTTGACGGTCATCCGGCCCACTCGAGGAAAGGATTCTAAGCATCTAAATCACCCGAGGCTTCTTCGAGTAACACTTAAGAATGCTACCGACGTAGAGGACGTCTTGCTAGCAAGTCACTTGCCGAAATCCGATGGTAACGTAAGGATATTGCCCGACATACCGTACTCTGAGCGCAATATCATACGGAACATCCCTAAAGAATCTCGCGTGAAGTTTTTCAGCGGAAGAAACATAATTGTGCAAGGTATACCGGAAAATGCAGACCCTACTCAATCAAATTCTGACATCAGGGAATGGAAATTCATCAAACAGTCCTTGAGGCTCAAACACATACTGACTCAGCGTGTGACGAGACTAGCCAAGAAGGACGGTGATCTTAGACCCCGTCTAATGAAGATGACCTTCCCATCTTCCCACATGGCAGCTGCAGTTCGGGAAGCATTTCGTGCCAACAGACGTCGATTGCCACCTGGAATCCACATGTACCCGGATAGGCCATATGAAGCTAGGACCAAGCACAAAGGCAAGTTGGAGCTGACCATTCTACTTGTGGACTGTCTAGATGATAAAAAACGTGTAAAGGACAGGGCCTACCACCTCGGCAAACCTCATATAGGTGGGCTACCTGTCCATTTACGTAAGGCTCATACAGACAAACAGGAAGAAGCTCACGCGTTCCAAATTGAAAGCATAAACTGCTTATATATGAACGCCACGAGTCTACCAAACAAACTGGATGAATTACGTGAACTTAGCAATGCTAATAAGGTCCATCTGATAGGAATATCCGAAACCTGGATATCTTCTCAGTTCTCGGACCAAGAGTTAGCATTACTTGGGATGACTTTGTTCCGCAACGACAGGAAAACAGGAATTGGGGGTGGAGTAGCCATACACATAAGCTCTTGCTTGGGGGTGCACCAAGTTCACAACCTCGAGTTTAACAATCTTGAGGAATCCATATGGTGCTCTGTTAGATTGTCTAGTACTTCCAGGTGTCTAGTCGGAGTCATTTACAGGAAGCCAACTGCCGACATCGAGTACGATAGTCGTATGCTGGAAGGACTATCCCGCTCTATCCGTCTCGGTTTCACACACATCCTGATTCTAGGGGACTTTAATCTCCCTAGAGTCAACTTCGCGGAACACACGTACACTGAAGGCAACAACTCAATTGAAGCCCGGTTCTTCAACCCCATCGATGACTTGGGCTTATATGAAAATGTGAGGTCGGCAACTCGTTGGAGAAACGGTAAGACACCATCGCGCTTAGACTGTGTATTCACTAACGAAGAATTCCTAGTCGACAACCTCTCAATCCTGGCTCCTCTGGGAAAGAGCGATCATACCGTCATAGCCTTCAGTTTTGTCATCAAAACTGAGCTAAGGTATCCCAACAATAATTTGCGTTGGAATTTTAAACGGCTGAATGTGCCAGCTCTACATGACTATCTACAACAGGTGGTTTGGGATGTTCACCCCCAACTCGATGTGGACGGCCATTGGGACTTCTTACTGCACACGCTCTTATGTGCTACAGACCATTCAGTTTCTCAAACGGTTCCCAAAAGCTGCAAGCTACCTACAGTAATCAAGAACCGTACCCTTCGCCTGCTAAGCCGCAAACGGCACTGTTGGGCGGAATACAAACATATCAGGAACATATGCACGAAGGCTATAAGAGAAGACAGGCTTCAGTACCAGACAAAGCTTATGGACAAATTCGCCTCTAACCCTGGAAGCCTATTCCGTTATGCAGCCTCTCTTCGTCAAGCCAAAACAGGAGTTTCTCAACTGCTAGGTCTTAACGGCCCGACCAACAACGATGGCAACGCCGCTGACCTTCTGGCGGCACATTACTCTCAAACATTTCAACCGGCTGACATCAACTTTATTGACGACAGTTTCATCTGCAATTCCACAGGACTTTCCGAAGTAGATCTAACCGCTGACTTGGTGTTCCGGAAATTGCAGCACTTAAGACTTGACACTTCTCCTGGCCCGGATATGGTTCATCCTGCCATACTGAGGGAGGCAGCCTCAATCCTGGCAACGCCGCTTAGCGTGATGTTTTCACACTCGCTTAGCCGAGGCAAATTACCGGAAAATTGGAAGTTGGCTCACATCACACCAATTTTCAAAGGTGGTCGACGCAATGAACCTTCAAGTTATCGGCCGGTGGCTCTTCTGTCATTACCTTCAAAACTCATGGAGTCCCTGATATGCGACGGTTTAAACGATTATCTACTGTCCTTAAATTTCTTCTCACCCCAACAGCATGGTTTCAGGAAGGGTTACTCTTGTATAACCAACCTGCTGACTGCGGTGGACAGATGGACAAGCATCCTCGATTGCAAGGGAAAGATTGATGTCATGTACCTTGATTTCTCAAAAGCTTTTGATAAGGTTAACCACTTGTGTCTTATCAATAAGCTCAAACGACTAGGTATCAAACCACCTCTAATCGACTGGCTTACTTCATACCTAAAAAATCGACACTTTAAGGTTACGGTTAATTTCACTTTATCTCGGGCTATGGAATGTCCTAGTGGGGTCCCCCAAGGCTCAGTACTAGGGCCTCTTCTCTTCTTGATCCACATAAATGATCTTCCTCAACAGGTAACGTCAGACTTATTACTTTTTGCCGACGACGTGAAACTTTGGAGAGAGATACGCAACCAAGACGATACACAGGCACTTCAGGAGGATCTGACTGGACTTCAAAGTTGGGCAGACGATAACGGACTTACCTTTAACACTTCAAAGTGTAAAGTAGTCCATCTGCGACATGTCGCAAACTACAGTTACAACTTAGGAAACTCCTCTCTAGTAGTATCCCAAGTCGAAAAAGATTTAGGAGTCCTGGTGTCCCATGATTTAAAGTCTTACGCTAACTGTGACAAAAATGCCTTCCGAGCAAACCTTGCACTGGTAACGTTGAGGCGCATTTTTGGCCAGTTTGACGGAAGAACTTTCCACACAATCTTCAATAGTTTCATCCGTCCCCATTTAGAGTACGGAAACATAGTACTCCCCCCTCACTCCAAAAGGACAAGGTCACTTTGGAGCGTATCCAACGGCGAGCCACGAAATCAGTTCGAGGACTCAAATCTAAGCCTTACGAAGAACGCCTCCGTTCACTAGACCTTTACCCACTAGAATATAGGCGTCTTAGGGGTGATTTATTAATGGCTTATAGTATTCTTAACACTTCTGGACATCCTCTTAAACACCTACTTAAGCTTAGTTCGAATAATAACCTAAGGGGTAACACCCAGAAACTGGAAACACAACATAGCAAGACGGAATGTAGACACAACTTCTACTCCTTAAGAGTTGTCAAAAGCTGGAACTCGCTGCCGGCCGAGCTAGTCCAAGCGACTTCTCAGGAGTCCTTCAAGAGGCAACTTGACCTATTCTTAAGGACCAAGGACAGCATCACACTATGATTTACCAATTTCTTTTCCTCTTTTATTGTTAACATACCTAGGTTCCTGCCTGGAGGATTTGGTGATCCCCTGCTACTAGACACGGAAGCCTGTTAAGCGAAAGCTTCTTCAATTCCGTCCACAACCATTTGAACCATTTGAGCTGCAGCTTCCGGATGGAAAATTACTCTTAACACTAAAACAGAAAGGTAGCACACTGAAAATGATTTTATGTGACTTAACTTTTCTCTTAGATGTCAACAGACTACTCAGTTGTGAGAAAAATGGGGACTCATGCAAGCTAACATGCGTCTAGCCAACCTCGAGCACATCAAGCACGTAACGTCTGACTTGAATAAAGCCATTCAAGGTCGTAGGGTCGTATTTGGTTTTACATACATGGTGTCGTTTCTTATTTGGCTTCATTATTTGATGTAAATGTCAGGTTGAATGCATTAGGTCTTGTTTGTTATTGTTAATGATGTTCTCTGGCTTGTTCTTCTGTTTCAGTCCTCACATATAAACGTGGCGATCTTACATAACCAACCATATAAGATCGCCATGTTTATGTGTACCAAAAGGAACCCAAAGTACTCGCTTGATTATTTTAGACACTAAAGAATGGTTATCTTGTGTTGCCAACTGTAGTTGATTATATCCCGATGACTTATAAAATTTCAGGTGTTTTTCGAACATATGTTCTAAAACGACCTCGACTGTGGGTTTAATGAAACCTGTACATAAAAATCGTAAATGTTCGACTCGTTGGTTGCTTTGCAACAGGTTCTGTATCTTCACTGCATAAAAGTCGGCTTGAAAAAATCGAGGTAGTCCTTAGCGTTTTTCAGTTGTCAGCTTGTTATTGTTTCTATAGGTGGTTGAGAAGTTTGGTACGTAAGTGGTTTTATACTAATTGTGTTTCTTTGACATTCAGACCACATAACATTTTTTTTGTAAATCAGCAGTCATAAATATGTGCACATCAGACCATCTTAAAAAATTACAATGACTCCATAAGCTTTTGGCCTATCTTATGGAACCATTGACTAAACTAACTTAATCTCAAGTATGTGTTAACATTGTACATTATTTTATTTTAAATGTCTAGATGGACATAAAAACCTCTCAACCGGCTATCAACATTAAAAGCCTAGTAACTGGCCTTTGTATTCTCTAGACAACAAACCAAATCCCACTCTACTCTGCGGGCCAACTGATGTTCAAATACACCCTTATCATGTTAGAAAATGTCTGAACGCTCACAGTGCTATTTTTGTTTACAAAGTACCTAGCAGTATCATTCTTTGTCAGACAAGAAAGATAATTTATACAAGCAACATATATATCCCGTATTTTTTAAAGCTAAGCTTTACATCCAAGCGTTTGCTTCAAAGTTTAATTAATGGGTCTCTAAAGAATTATTTCAGAAAGTAGTTAGTGTTTGGCAAACCTGACGCTATCATTTATCTCCGTCGTCATGTGCATACATTTACGGTCTCTGTATTTTTGTACTTTTGTTCACTAGCGTTTTCTTGCATTCACATCACGTAACTCTACTGCATTTACTAATCTAGGTCTCAAACCATCTCACCAAGATGTTTCTATAATGGGAAATTCTGGAACATGTTTAACCGATTACCTGAGCGTCTGTGCTCCTGAGAAAGTTCTTTTAGTCATAAGCTTTTGTACTGTCCTTTTGGGTTTCGTTCTTATTGTTTTAGGTGTTTGTATCACTCAGCTTAGTGATGGACCGTACGCTCATTTGTCCATATCATATTCAGCTGTCCCTATTGTGTTTGCTGGTTGTGTTACACTATTAATAGCCATTGTTAGGATCGTTTCTACAAGTAAAAGTTTAAGGGAAATGAATTTGACTCCCTGTGAGTTTGGAAAACAATGGAATAAAAAGGAGTCTGGTTCCGAGCCTATTTCCTACAATCTTCAAGAAAACGCATATAATGTATTTTCTTTTGCAAATAAATCGTCTGGAAATTTTAGCTCCAACTCATTTTCGGATAAGAAGGTTGATCATATTCCCATGCCTGTAACAAACTATCATCAAAGATTACCAATGCCTCCAAGGCGAGCTGTTTTGTATTAGGTCTACTCAACTTTTAATGTAACACTGATTCGAGAGTTTTCTGTATGTTAAACATCTTTTATTTCAAGTTTCATCATTGTTTCTATTGTCATGCTCCGTTTTAGAATTGTATTTGGTTGTACCGCGACATTATTGTGCATGCACTGTTTCTAATTTTCAGATTTGTGTTATAATCAACCCAATAGTGATAACTTGGTTGAATAAAGTAAATCCACTTTTTTTTCAAGTCGTTCTTACTTTCTAGTTTACCCTATTCTATCTTGGAAGATTTAATGGGAAGGGTTTGCATGAGTTTCCGCTTCCATCTCACCTTCGAACTAAGATTTAAGAGATCTGGCCAGTCTTTGTTGGAGTTTATGTGTCCTGTGTGGATTCCGTCGATTTGGCCATTATGACACAATCTTATGTAGGATGAATATAAGTGGATAGCAATGTAATCCGTGCGGTGCATTTTGTTGTATTCGCGGAATGCTATTTGGATGTACGTATCAATTTCCATCCAAACGGCTACACATTAATTTAAAATTCCTTCCCGTTTGATAAGTGAGTGACCCCAAATGCCATGGTACAGTCAAGAGTGGGGAGAGTCCGCTCTCCCTCTCGAAATGCTCTCATATGGCCACGCATATATAGCCACTGCCAGGGAAGTCCTACTCACTGCCTTCTCGCGACAGGGGTGTTGTTTACGAAATTGAGAGGATGAAAAGCGAATGTCCGGCACTTTAACCGGGTTGGTGGACACGGAGTCCACCTAGGGGAGTTGGAAAACCCTGATTCCAAACCAGTGGTGCACATGGTCTCCATTGTCCTGAGGGAACGAATGACATATGAACCAATTGTTGGTCACCGGCGACCATGGGACTGCATCTCCTTACGATGTTCCACTGCCTTGTGGGTTAGACTTTTAGGTCGAAGGCTCCGAGTGTAGCCCTAAGAAAACTGCCTGCTTCGGTTTGGGCACCCGGACCGTATCCCAGCCCTCATACAAATCAAATGAGATTTGTGTGGCGCATATGTATCTGGTGCCCCCTTGTACCTGGATGTGATTATAGTATGATCGCTACAAAAATACCAGCTTACACGCTAAAAAGGCACTTAAACGTTTAGTATTTACTACTGTGGCTATCGAGAAAAGAAAGATTTCATGACCATTTGGGGATGTGTTCATAATTAGGTATGTTTCTTGAAGTACATTAGTGAGGACTTTGGTATTTATGATTATTTTCTAGTGCTGGGACTATGGATATCGTCTTACTTTCCCGTGTAGTGGCGTTTTCTGTCCTACTTCCGCATTATGATGTTCACTTTTTATTCGAAATCAATTATCTAATCTGGCGGTTAAAGTTGTCTATTGTACTAATCCCATATACTCTTTCAAACCAAATTCCACCATATCTCTATGGCTTTATTCCGTTTTCTTGCCTACTCCACTAATTTTTTTAAAATATACTCGTCACACGATCGATTCACCGTGCTAATTCCTAGTTTTCTAAACCTCCAATCAGAGGGTCAAAAGAGTGGTAGCAATTGCCTTTTTTCTAGAATAATAAGTAAAATGTAAAACTAGAAGAGAATCACGTTTTATTAACTTTGATAATTTCATCACTAGGACGTCTTTGATGCAGAGCTTTATGTCGAATATTCAATCGACTCTAATTAATGAAAGATAAAAAATGTAGCTACACTTAATAAACAAGATGATAACTTACAATTGGGAGGATTTGACAATATTATAAAGCAACTACTTAGTCACTACTAACTAAAAATATACAAAGAAACTCACCAGATTGTTGTTACTTAAGTATCATCCTCCTTTATGTTTGCCCTATGTACCCTAGGTGAACGTCGTAGTTACTTGATTAGTCTGGACATTACTTAATTGACTTTCCAGTGGTTGATCTACCAGGATGATTCACTTGCTGACTTATGTTACTCAGATTATATAGTCTTGTTTGGTAAAGACCTTGATAATATATAGGCTTTTCTGACCATCTCAAGCAAGAATACTAGCATGTTTGGAATGCGTTTCTCTACCCCCCAAAATGCAAAATTTTGCTCCAGAATTGGTTTTAGTCCATGCCTGGACTAATCATTGGAAGTGAAGTAATTGAGTGTGTCAATCACTTCACTTATCCTGAAAGCCTAAGCAGGCATGATGGGTTCGGTGTCTTTATTTCAACACATGAACATTGGTACAAGGAGGCATCAAATAGGTGAGCGCCACATTAGTCATTCGATTTGTGTGAGGGCTGGGATACGGTCCGGGTGCCCAAACCGAAGCAGGCAGTTTTCTTAGGGCTACACTCGGAGCCTTCGACCTAAAGGTCTAACCCACAAGGCAGTGGAACATCGTAAGGAGATGCAGTCCCATGGTCGCCGGTGACCAACAATTGGTTCATATGTCATTCGTTCCCTCAGGACAATGGAGACCATGTGCACCACTGGTTTGGAATCAGGGTTTTCCAACTCCCCTAGGTGGACTCCGTGTCCACCAACCCGGTTAAAGTGCCGGACATTCGCTTTTCATCCTCTCAATTTCGTAAACAACACCCCTGTCGCGAGAAGGCAGTGAGTAGGACTTCCCTGGCAGTGGCTATATATGCGTGGCCATATGAGAGCATTTCGAGAGGGAGAGCGGACTCTCCCCACTCTCGACTGTACCAGGGCATTTGGGGGCCTAGGACAATCTCATTCGAAAATCTAGGTTGACTTTCGCTGACGTGCGTCATTTGTGCACTGAACAAGATGTCTGTCTTCTGATCAACGGTTAAGTTTACTGTGATGCAGTTTGCTCCGTTCTACTATATGAGTGTGTGGTCAGCGATGTTGATTGAAACGGCCTAAAATTGTTTGCAGTGGCCTGGGTGTATCCATACTATGTCTTCTTCCAGAGTCAGTGTAGTCTATTTAACAATAATAGAGATACCTTAAATGTCTAACCTACTGATCCTCTTGCAGTTTACGAAACAAGCCATAATGAATACGTTAAGATAGTAAATTTACAAAGAGTAAGATTACTATTATTTTCTTATTAAGTAGCTAGTCTAGAAAGAATAAAAAAGAAAGGTCAACTCCCAATTTAAAAAGTATGCTGCCGTGTTGAGGAAAACTTTTTATCCAAAAAGTCAATGGACTTGGAAACTTTATGATGGACGAATTCGTTTAATCATTTAACATTCCAATTCAACCGATTACGAATTTTCAGAAATTTTGAGGTCATCCAGTGTCAAGTCGATAAGTTCTCCTGATTACTGTGAATAATATGACCAGTTAACTATTAATTACATAACCATGCTTATGGGTTCAATGTGCCTAAGTAAATTGTCATCAAAAGACGGAACAACAAACCAAGAAGTCATTTAATTATGATACGAAATTTGCGGGTTAGTTAGCAGCGATAAAGTTAAGATATTTCAGACTTAATTCTTGCCGGTACGTGTTACATTATAGCTTAACATTTAATGAAAAACAAACAATCAACCAATTTTATTATGACCATAATGAAGGAATTTATTACTTAGTCAATATACTAGAATCCATTAATTGACATCAGTTAATTTAACTCGGTGTGCATCCATAGCATAACAATCTCCCCTTATTATTAATAGGTGCGCAAGTGTACCTACGAGAAGAACGGTTCACGAATTTCATAGTACAATTTCGTAATAATAATAGAAACAATAAACTTAAGTGATGTATGTGTCCCGTTTTCTCGGCAATTATTTCGTTAAAATATATCTGTTGATAAGAAAGCAACTTTCGATTTATCTATATTGAAATATTATGATAAGATGATTATTAATAAAGCAAAGTGGTAGAATAAAGTGATAATGACAGTAATAATGCATAGATTAACAACTAAGATTATCCGTAGTTCTATCGTATTCATACATATATCCGACAATATTATATTGATCGATCATTCTAGTGAAGTCATTGTTATAGTTACACATCACTTATTTCTGTTACCCCTCGTCGAGGACCATAGGCCGCTCATAAGTACTCTCCACCCAACCCTGTCCTAGGCAATAATTTCCATTTGTTTCCAGTTCCTATTTGTCCATTTCATGTCTGCTTCCGATTCCCGACCCGGCGTGTTCTTCGGCCTCCCTCTTTTTCGTTTCCTTTCAGGATTCCAAGTTAGCGCTTACCTTGTGTTGCAGTTCGGTGATTTCCGCAACGTATGTCCTATCCACTTCCACTGTCTTCTCCCAATTTCCTCTTCAGCTGGGAGTTGGTTTGTCCTCTCCCACAGTAGGCTGTTGCTGATGGTTTCCGGCCAGCAACGGACATTGACTATCTTGCGTAGACATTTGTTTTTATATATACTTGTACCTTTTTTGATGATGGTTGTAGTGGTCTCCACGTTTCAGCTCCGTACAGTATAACTGTCTTGACGTTCGTATTGAAGATTCTGAATTAGATATTGGTTGACCGTTGTTTTGAGTTCCATATGTTCTTCAACTGTAGGAGTGCAGTCCTTGATTTGCCAATCCTCGCCTTTATGTCTGTAGCTGATCCTTCCTAGCTATGTGAAAAATTCCACATCTTCCAGGGCTTCTTCATCAAGTGTGATTAGGTTGGTGTTCTTCGTATTGTATTTCAGGATCTTGCTCGTTCCTTTGTGTATGTTGAGGCCTACTGATGTAGAGGCTACTGCTACACCGGCTTTCGTCACATGTATTTGTTGGTGTGTATGGAAAATAAAGGCCAGGTCATCTATGAAGTCCAAATCTTATTGATTCCATGCTGTCCATTGTATTCCGTTCTTCCCTTCAGATGTCGAAGTCTTCATAATCTAAGTGACCACCAGAAGAAAGAGGAAGGGGGGTATTCAAACTATAGTTACTAAGTTATTAGGGGAATACATTTAAATGATTCATCGTTCGTTGTAAATATTACTAAGTAAAAATAATAAATGGCTAAGACCTAGATGAAACTTAGTATGGAATATATAGGTCGATATTAGTGAATAAATCATTGGGAATTAGGAATTGGTGGGTGTTTAGTTTCTTACTAGCTTGTAGATTTTTTCAGTGGAAATTCATCATCCAGTAGGAACAGTAGCCACGGGATCCAAATCTCATTATGAGTATGATACCTTAAAACCATTTAACCGGAATCCGAGTGTTACTATTTGCAATTTGAACATTTAGTCTACAGGTTATGAATTATTACAATACCTCACATGTATAGGTAGGGAATAAAACGTAAGAGAAAGGAAATTATTCTGAATTTCGCACTGATTCAAAGTGGATTTTGCTAAGTCAGCCGCGAGTATATTCGTTGTATTAAATTGTTCAGTGAATGATATCCTATTCAGTACTC